ATCTTTTTTCGCGCAGGTCAGTAGGTCTTAGTTTACAGGACACCCCTTGATATTGCCATTTAACGTAGGAAAAGTGAAGAAGCACGATGTCTTGTATTTCCGTGTCTTCAAGTTGGAGTCTTCTGATCTTATTGTTGTTTGTGAACAGCCACCAAACCTTCGCTAAACCAGCAAAGAGACCTCTTGCAGGTACGACCACGGTTCCTAAAAAAATCCAGCATTGCAATAATGTGTATTTCTACGAGGCGCCCAACGAGAAAATTGCTACAATGCTGAAAGAAATAAAGGAACAACTGGCTCAAGTACAAACTGACATCAATGAAAAGATCGGAAACAAGACTAATGAGAAAGGTATGAACTCCTTACTGTCTTTGTGTGTGTCTAGACCCACTTATCGAATGCAATTCAGTCATCGGAATATATTTCGTGTTATCACAATTATCATACGAGCTTTTTAATTCTCCGATAAACTGGGAATCGCACAACAACTATTTTATTAATCTCTTTAAACCGGATATCATAAAAGCAACCTCAACGTGAGGATTTTGAACAGTTAAAAGAAAGGCTACAGCTAACTTGACCCGAAATACTTTCGCCATATAGCCGTGAAGCTGAAGGAAGGAATTTCTTGATCACGCTTCCTTACCGCCAGGGCAAACAAACTCTTCCAAGTTCTTCCCATATAGGGTGACAACCTGTGTCCTGGGTAGACAAAAAGTAGAGACTAACTACATCTCCCGTTTTTATCACACGACTGTGAATGTCGATCGGTGAATAACCGAACCAAGATGGGTTAGTCTGGATAAAGCAAATAGCAAGTCCAGGCCTCGATAACTTAGTTCTGTGAAAATCATGTCAATTGTGCCCACATAACATCATTTATTAACCGTTTTCATGATGCGGTCAAGGACGATATAGAATAACCTTCTAAATGTCTACAATTATTAGTAACAAGGTTCCTGCCCCGGGGGGAATTCCCATACCCCAAAAGGATACCAATCTGGGTGTGGCTTAAGCTGACCTCTAAAGGTGAAAACACTGTTTGAATGCAGAGGTCCGCGCAACACGTAAATATAACTGACCGGTTCCCCTTGTCGGATCTCTAATCAAAGACATGCTGTAGCCAGACGGCGTTACTTAAAGTGTAAAATAAAACAAAACTGAATACAATTATTTGCCTCAGCCTTCGGCTTCGGCAAATAATTGATCTGCTCGCCACAGACAAATCACGATATTTTGCTCAACCTCGTCCAATAATTGTAAATTATCCGGTGGATAGCGCTATCCAACAGTTGAACAACCGGGCCAGATGTCCTAACCCCTACGTGAGGCCTTTTGAGTTGTTAATAGAAAGGCTACAGCTTTGACTCGAAGCACTTCCTCCTGTGGTGTGGCTGAAGGAAGGAATTCTTCATCATGTTCCTGCCTAGGGCTAACAAACTCGTTCAAGTAATTCCCATATAAAAAGACAGCCTTGGTCCCTTGCTTTAAAACTTAGTAAAAGGTAGAAAAATAGTGGCTAGCTGCATCTCCTGTTTTTAAGTGAATGTCGGTCCTTGAATAACCCAAAAATCTGTTAAATCTGTTAAACACAAAGCTATGAAGATACTGGGTCTATTACGTAGAAATTTTTCAGGAAGCAGCAAGTATGTTAAGACCCAAGCATCATACAACTCTCTCGTAAGAGAATTTTCGGAACATTTGTTGTAAAATTTCTTGCTTGCCTGCCTGTCCTAGGATTTTCCAAGATCTAAAAAATGGTATAATTGCCCATTTTTAACAGATTTTTAGCCTAAAAAGGTCACCTAGAATTTTCGGGAGCTAGTCTTTTTTCTGGCTGAAATTTTCGAAAAGGTAAGTTTTGATCCCTATAATTTTCGGATCACTAGACTTTCAGCTAGGAAATCCGAACAGATGAAAAATTTTTATGGGATAAAAATATGCCTATATCTACCGTTTAAATACTAAAATACGTTTAACAATGCTATGTTTAACTGGTTTTGAACTTTATTCNAGTTTTGATCCCTATAATTTTCGGATCACTAGACTTTCAGCTAGGAAATCCGAACAGATGAAAAATTTTTATGGGATAAAAATATGCCTATATCTACCGTTTAAATACTAAAATACGTTTAACAATGCTATGTTTAACTGGTTTTGAACTTTATTCTCGATGGGTGCCCCTGCCATATAGGCAAATAGTGCTGTAAAGTGTGGGTTTTCTTAGTAGATTAGTCTGGGATGAGGATTGGAATCAAAGGAATTTGCTCTTCAATAATTAATCGGTTTCCTCTGCACTGGCTTTGGTTCAGTCAATACCTGAATCATATAGTCCTACTATAATATGGTAAGAATTAGGGTAGGAATTAATCTCAGAGTTCTAGTAGCAGAAGGCCACCTCACCACATCAAATTCCACAACAAAAACCCAGCGATTTCAATTGGCTACGTACCAGCAAATAATCAGCTGAAACAGTCAATATGTAGATAAATAAAATTAGTCCAAACTTAGTCCACTTGTAATGTAATGCTGTTACCTTATATGGCATTGTATTGTGTAAACTTAAGATCCCGGATTTGCGACCACGAGGTTGTTAGATTGGAGTGAGCTTGTAATAAATGACATTTTGATCAACTCCTGATTCCTCCTTAAACAGTACAGCAACTTTACACCTATAACAGAAAAAAGTAAAACGATTCTTTTTCAAGAAGCCCCATAATAGACGTTGACTCCTTTACCCTTTAAACCCTAACATCAAAATTCAAATTCTCATTTGTTATCCCGATACGTTTTCAATAGAAGAAGTAGAGAGAATTTGTTGAAGTGTCAGTTAGATTCATCTTGTGTGATCATGTCCTTAATTCTCATGACCACTCTGTTTTATAAAGCAATGTTATTACAAGGAGAAATTTGACGCTGATCACTCTCAGGGTTAATAGAGATTTGGTGTACAGTCAACTCTCTTCAAGACGGAGGCCTTTGGGACGGGCACTTAGTACGCGCCCCGAGGGGAAATTCCCTTATATAAGCTAGATAGAAATGTGCCACCCCATCGGAAGGGTTTTTGCGCTGTTTTGGTCTGAAAACGGGTCGCTTTCCCCATTTTGGTCTGGTTCTCGGGGGAACTACGGGAGTGTATGAACTTATTCATCGTTTCTATTCGAAAAGAGTAAAAGAAAAAAAGAGAAATATGCGAATTTAAAATTGATTTGAAGAATTTTTCGTTTCCGCTGTTATCTAAGTAATTATGACATAATTTGTGCCTAAAGGCCAAGTGTGAAAACGTGAACGGATTTTAGAGGTCTGATCTGAAAAGGGGTGTGGAAAATTACATTTAATTTTTTGGTCTGAAATAGGGTCAGGATTTGGAGAACCAGGCGGTACACCCCCACCAATTCCCAGGAGTACCCCCACTTCCACCCCCATCCCCCCGTACCCGTCTTAGAGAGAGTCAAATAAAGGGAGTAAAGAAAGGCAGGGACCAACTCTAGGTGTCCGTTTTACAGAGGTGTCAGTCTTATAGAGGTGTCCTTAAGAGAGAGTCGGCTGTAACAGTAATTACTTTCTGACCAGCTAAACAGAACTGTGCTGAGCTTTACAAAGCTGGTGAAAGAATCAGCGGTGTTTATACAATCGACCCTGATGGTCAAGGTGCCTTTGATGTGTTCTGTGACCAAACAACAACTGGAGGGGGGTGGATAGTGTTCCAAAAGAGACTGGACGGCTCGGTTGATTTCTACCGCGGCTGGGCTGACTACAAGCGGGGGTTTGGTAACCCGAATGGCGAGTTTTGGCTTGGACTGGACAAGATTCACCGGCTGACAAAATCGAATAACAGGCTTCGAGTTGATCTGGAAGACACAACAGGCAAAACCGCTTACGCTGAATACGACGTGTTTGCTGTTACAAGCGAGAGGACTAAGTACCAGCTTAGTCTAGGAACTTATTCAGGTGAACTAAGGAGATTTCCTGTGCTTCAAAAATTGTATTTAATGCTAAATTTTAGTTGTCATTATTCATTGTATGTATTGTATTAAGGCTTCCCTTGCCTCCTTTATGGTCCTTCTTAGTTTTGATAACTTTTTGGAGATTCAATTTTACAATTACGATTAATTAAAACTTATATAGCTCAATTTTCTATGGAGCATGATCAGATGTGCTTCATAATAAGTTAAAAAGACTGAAAATGACTGAAGGATGCTAACTATGGGAGATTCAATAGGCACTCATTCATTATTCCCAAATTATCCCTCTCTTCTGTTTTAATAACACATATTACATTTAGGTATTCTATTAAAAACATTTATAATGGTAACTTAACAGGTCTGAGGGGAGCCCAATTCGGTTTTTGATCACACAAGTGATTAACAGAATGGGACGACCGCATTGAAGCTCTTGTATCAATTCACCATAACTATGACAAATCTTGTGATTTTTTAAGCATTTTTCTTTTTTCAACTTAAAGCACAAGATATTCCGACGGTTGTTTGCAAGCAGTGACTTAAAAATTATTCAAGTGCGCGCGCAAGATGGCTTTTACTGTTAGCTATTGTCCAGTTACTTAAGGATGACCCGCACTGCCCTATTACACTGTCCTATTAATGCTAGCGACATTGTTATAGTTATGTTGATAGTAAATTCGCCTTGTGTATTTTTTAGGAACCGCTGGAGACTCTTTTTCTGTGCATCGTGCCCAGCCATTTACCACTAAAGACCAAGATAATGATAGCGCAACATCTGTCAACTGTGCTGTGTCCTACAAAGGAGCCTGGTGGTACGAAAGCTGTCATTCATCAAATCTGAATGGTTTGTATCACCATGGTTCACATTCATCTTATGCTGATGGTGTCAACTGGGATGCATGGAAAGGATATAACTACTCTGCCAAGAGAGCTGAGATGAAAATGAGACCAGTGAACTTTTAGAACTGTCTTAGAGGGCCACGACGATCATCACTCCTAAAAAGCTGAGCATAGATTTTGATTATGCTAGAACACCACCATATAGTATACCAACGTTGTAGAATTATTGGTAGAGCCAATTGCTGTTAGCATAAAAAGCGTTTCTAAGCGTTATAATTTTCTAGCTGTGTGATTTAAGGTATACGAATTTTCGAGTACGCATGTCCGACCTCACTTAACTTTCACTCGGTAGGGTATATTGGGAGATAAATAAAGCAACGTGACATGTGAATCTTGTCGTGTGGAATAGATTTTTAAAGAATTAAATCAACTCCGTATTTTTTAACCAGCTGAAGGCCGGCAGTCGTTTTGAATTACGGGACGGTTCTAAAGAGACTAGTCTGAGTCTGAGACGTGAGGTGCGTTCCTTTGAAATATTGATCCCTGAAGCGTTTGTTTCCAGGAGAGAGGGAGTCTGCAATAAGGCCTTTCCCGATTGTGCTTGGCAACTTTTGAGCAACCAGAGAATGGATGTTCCATTATCAAATCTATTTATTTAAGGTGAAAATAGGTGTGTATGGTGGTGCGGGTAAATCTGTTGTACATTTTTTGTCTACGATATCCCAGGTAACCGCTGGTTTAACGACAAATGTGATACTAAAGCTCCGTGCAACGGACGCAACATTGTTGGATGTTACATGTTGCGTCCGTTTGCACACCCTGTTGCATGTTGTTGAGTGTTGTTGGGAGTTGTTGCGCAAAGTTCGCAACCGGTCAAACTTTTAGCCACGGGTAAACGGAGGCAACAACTCCCAACATTGTTGAGCCAACAATGTCGGGAGTTGTGGCGTCCGTTTTCACGTGGTCTAAGAGGCATCATGACCGCCTCCGCTCGTACATGGAGAAGCAAATTGAGACATGTCTACTTAATTAGTACATTTAAACCTCCAAAATTTTGCCTGGTACTACCCATTTAGTGGCACCTTCTCTTACAACCCACCATGTCTATATAAGCAGAAGGGGCGGAACCACAAAATTTTGTTGAGAATGCGGGAAGGTGTCCAACTTATGCACGCTGTTGAAGCCAATGCTTCACATTGTTCCACTTCGTTACACACTCAGTTTTCTTCTATGTAGACCCTTGTGCCGTGATAAGGGTTTAGTACCCAGTTTTGAATCGTTCGTCTCTTATCAATATCATAAGTGTTTAAGCCATCATTGTTTTTTACAGATTTCGTAAATTTGAACAAGTATTCAAGAAGGCAACGTGGAACAGAAGTTTCATATTTTAAGCTACCAGATTAAAGTTGTAATAATTTTAGTTTGAAATCAGTTAGCTAAGTAGCTCTAGGTACTAGGTTTTAAGACTATGTTGATACTATACAGTGGCGGATCCAGACCTTCAGATAAGGGGTTTCGGGGGGGGGGGGGGGG